GTAAAAAATGAGTGGAAGAGTGAATTTAATGAGCTTGACTTTTTGTTTTACTCTTCCATTCATTTTTTGTCACCTCACTTTGTATGTAAATCTTTATAAAATTTTTTTGTAAGTATAGTATTATTGATAACATAAGTGTCCTTCATTCTAAAGGACATAGCATATAATATAAATATTACAAGGTAGAATACACATCAATAAAATTAATGTAGAGTAAGAGGTAGATTGCTCCCTCGCAAAACAGAGGTGGATATGTAGGACTCTTTAGTGCACTTGAATCTGCATGAAAGCTCTCTCTGCTCTCGATTTCTGGACTCTCCTTCAATCGGTATCTTTCAGTCATTTGTGGCAACTAATTTGTCTAAGTTGCTCTTTTTAATTTCTTGAGCTGAATCATGAAAGAGCATTCCATTTACAACACATCTTAAAAAATTAATTTTGAGCAAAAGCAAAAGATCTGCCAGCCTTTTTTTAGCGACTTGGTCTTGTTTAGAAAATAAAAAATCTATAATTATTAAGAATGTCATTAAAAAAAAAAAAAATCGAAAACCCAATAAAAATATAAGGAGTGTTTATATTTTTATTGGGCTTTCGATATTTTTTACAAAGCTTTTTATACTATAGAGAGCGTTATTTGCTTAATCAATTAAGTAGGTGAGTTATCTTTTAAGCAATTTCTCGGAGAAAAATAAAACAACCAAACCATTCTGGGTGGCTGGATGGGACAATTGAGACTCTTAAGTATATTATTCAATAAGTCTTGAGTTGCTAATATGAGTAACTACTAGAGTATTTACCTAGTTGTTAACTTGGAGATACCAAGAGAATTATCGAGGTACGTGCAAGCTGTTGGTTGAATCACCAAAAAAAAAAAAAAAAAAAACATGTATTTTAATATGATTAACATATATTATATTTTGGCTCATCTTTAAAAAAAATTATTGACTTTTTCTATGATTTAATTAAAATCTTATAAACCATAAAGAGGGACTTGACCAAATAAGACTTGATAAGGTGAAACAAAATTTAACACAGATGAGGGCATTCTATTTATTAAGAAAACTACTGTGTCAAATGCACACCACCAAAGATGCATGGACATGAATGCATGAGCTAACAAAGTTAAGCCTGTCTCAACTACATGCTTATGTTTCCTCTCACTTCTACCATTTTGTTGGTGAACATAAGCACAAGAGTGTCTAAACTGAATTCTAGCAGTTGTTAAGTAGGAAATTAGGCCTCTATATTCACTCCCTTGGTTAGATTGGAGACACTTAAGTTTGTGATTAAATTGTCTCTCTACTGGGTGATGAAACTTGATGAAAACAGAAGCTACTTCAGCTTTGGTTCTTAATGGAAAAAGCCATGTAAATCTACTAAAGTCATCAATGAATTGTACATAATATCTAAAACCCTCTAAAGATAACACTGGGGCAGGCCCCCAAATGTCACTGTGAATAAGTTCTAGGGGAGCTGTAGCTCTTGAATGTGAGATAGGGAAATGGTTTTTATGAAGTTTTCCTAACTGACAAGAATCACAAAAAGAAATAGAAGATTTATTTCTGGACACTGATAAGTTGGGTCTTTGTAGGAGAATTTTCTGAAGAATTTCAGCATGTGCGTGCCCTAGTCTATTATGCTAAGTCATAAGAGCAGAATCATGAGAGGAATCAGTGTGATTGGCCAATGCTGAAGTAGAATGTAAGCAATTATGCACATGTGCAGTAGTGTTATATATAAAATTATCAGATGTGTGTGAGCAATCAGTATTGTGATGATGTAGTATTGAAGAGTTGTCGTTTAAACAAGTAGAAAAATCCAAGTTTTTATTAAGAAAACCTGAAGTACAAGTACTTGAGCAAGGTGTATTGACATTACAAGCTGATGCCTCTAATTTAATTGATACATCAGATGCAGATTTATTTGCAACAAAAGAACTACAAACACCACCAAAACAGTTAGACACAGCATTATTGGACTTATCTGAAGTGATACAACGTACCAATGGACTGGATGCTAGACAGTTTGCTTATTAGCACTAGCAAAAGTATTGGAGACAGAAGAGACTGGTAGCTAAGGAAAAACAGAAGGTGAGCAAACTTTTGGTGAGTTGGAGGGCAGGACAGAGGATAGATTCAATTGGTACAACCCAACTTTAAGTTCTCCCTGCAGTAACACTGTATTTGTAATTTTATCCTTTACCACACAGCTATCAGTAGAAAATTCAACCACAACATTATTATCCTTAGTAAATTTAGATATACTGAGTAAGTTTTTTGTAATTCTAGGCACACACAACACATTCTTCAAGTAAAGACATTTAGATTTAAGAGTACTAGGTAAAAGAGTAAGTCTTACATGAGAGATATGAAGAAACTCACCACTACCTACTTGAAGTTGCTCAACTCCATCATAGTTGTGGCTAATGTTGAGGTGGTTTAGGTCAGTTGTGACATGGCCAGTTGCACCTGAGTCCATGTACCAAGCAGGATCTTGGCAAGTGGCTGGAGAGACAGTAAGAGAGCATCCTTTGTTAGTAGGACCAGAAAATGTGTGATTCTGATTTGCAACCATATATGCTTGATTGGAACCACTAGGTTGCTGACTGGGAACTTTGAATCCTTGTGAAACAGGAGTAGAGTATGAGGAACCAATTGAGTTTACTCCAGATGATGTGGCAAAATTCTGTTGTGGCTGAAAGTTATTGCTAAGTTCTAGTGATCGAATGTGCTGCTGATCAGGTACATAAGCAGTAGGGATAGTGCATTGTGTTTGCTGAGGATGGTGGACAAATTGAGGCTACATATTATTGACAGCATGAGAACCAAGTGATACATTATGTGGTTGAGTGTGACTATTCGATTGATGGCCATATGGTGTACTGCATTGCTGAAAATGAGTGATAGGACCAGCTAGTTGTCTAATGTGACCTCTCGTAGGTGGTGGCACACCATTATAAATAGAGTTGTACCGGTGATAACATTGGACTGCATTATGTCCAAGTTTATTACACACTTGACAAACTGGTCTTCCCTTGCTATTAGTACCTCTTCCTCTGCCTCTTCCAAACTGATTAAAATTAGATGGATTATTTGGTGGAAAAGGTGTTATGTATTGTCCTATGTGAGTTGAGTAAGTGTAGTGATCAGTGGGATTATTAAAGGAATACTTTGAACTGATTTCTGGATGAGCAATCTGAGGTTGTAGAGGATGTAATTGATGGGATAGTGAATTGGTAAGAGGATGAGTACTGTTAGGGCCAAAAATCGTCTTTGGCCTAAATAGGAAAACGGGCCCGACACTGAAGAAGAAGCCAGGCCCAATCCCGATATTATCCAACCGGATTAGGCCCTTTCGGTACAAAATATAGTCGGCCCAAACCACGTGGGCGCGAGCCTCTTAATCCCAGTCCATTTCCTAGGTCCATGGGCGAATCCAGAGCCCACAGCCCCCTCAGAATACTTTCCTACTCTTAATCAATCTCCTATTCAAGGTCGCCTTCCTATTTTTGATCGCTTTCCTATTCGGAGTCAATCTCCTAATTCGAATCACCTTCCTATCCGGACACGGGTAAGACAGCTTACCACGGCCCTAATTCTTCTAGGGTTTACATTAGAGTCACACTAGGACTCCTACTTCTGCCAGGATTGGAAGACCAGATAGTCACTATATAAGCAGAGGCCCGCCCTTTCATAAGACACATTACATTACACCTCCATACTGAGAGCTCTGACTTGAAGAGCTTCACATCACCGCCGTAGTCACAGTCCCCGACTAGACTTTCGATAATCTCTACTCCCTAGCCCTCACCATATTAGCCTCTCTTAGCCTTGCTGACTTGAGCGTTGGAGTGCCTACGGCAAACACCACCTCGGTGTTTCCCGTTTGCTTCATGCGTGTGTTTTTCTACATGTGCAGGTCCAACGGATCGCTAGTGGCCTCAACCTCATGGGATTAGACCCCCCTCTGTACAGGTAGATTTTTACGTCTAAAGTTTGATGCCCACTGTGGGGCCTCTAGCAATCATTGGGCTCGACGAAACTTGCTACGTGGAGGAACATTCCATGGTTGACAATCCCGACAACATTAACTCCGACCTCGAGGCCAGACTGGAGGCTTTGACCGCTCTCATGCAACAAAACTTGGACAAGGTGGCCGCGCTGGAAGCCGAAAACACCTCCGTCAGGGTTGAGAACTAGTCGCTAAAGGAGAAAGTAAGTCAATTCTACGATCTCGAGTTTCTGCCCGACCAAGCACCCCCCAATCGGTTCCGCGCCCCTATCCCATCCATGTAACCTTTCTCCACACCAGAGTATCGGCCCTCGAAATCCAGTAAAAGGCCTCGTCAGTTAAGCGCACTGGCGCTCGACTACTCCTTTCTAAATAACGGAGATAAAGATATGCCAACAGCACGCCATCTAGTCAACCCATCCCAGCCTCATGATCAAAATGATCCAGCAACAGAAAGCCCGCATCCGCAGGATCAACCTGTCCCCACCATCCCACTTCACCTCTAGTCAACCCAAACACAAACCCCATCCAGCTCGGCTCACCCTCGCGGGTTGAATGGCCAAACCAAACCAACTCCAACACTTGAGCCCAGCTATCCTAATGGACCGAACGACTACCAGACGACTCCCCTGACCATTCATGTAGGGAAGAATAATAGAACAGTGACAATGGGAGTCATCCAACCAGAAGGGATGAACGAAGACCCATGCTATCAAGGAGCGCATGACGGAATGATTTATCAGACTACCCACCAAGGGATGACCTAACGGAATGTACCAGACCCGGTATGACGAGATGACCTGATAGTATCCCCCTCCCCTATGAAACAAATACTGGCCAAGAGACTGGCTGACGTTGAGGCAGTAATGAGACGCATTCCAGGAATGCCAATCCCAACCAAGAAGAGCAGACCAAATTGTTACGTCGATTCACCCTTTGTGGATGAGATCGCCCTGGCTGACATGCCCCAGAAATTCACCATCCCCAACATGAAACCATATGACGGTACCACCAACCCGGATGATCACATAGCCTCGTACAAGCAGCGGATGTTCACAGTCTCCATACCTCGACCGCTTAGAGAGGCTTGCATATGCAAAAGTTTCGGTTCTAGTTTGTCTGGCCCGGTGCTCCAATGGTACACGAACCTCTCGAACGGATCCATCGAGTCATTTGCTCAGCTTACCGACACCTTTGTGGAACAGTTCGCCAGCAGCAAGAAGCTAGAGAAGTTGTTAGTCGACTTGTACCGAATATACCAGAGAAGGGGAGAGCCATTAAGAGAATATGTTAGCAGATTCAACAAAGAAAAGATCTCTATTCCCTCATGTAACCCTGAGACTGCTGTGGACGCTTTCAGAAAAGCCCTCCTCCCAGACGGAGAACTATATAAAGAACTTACAAAGCTGGGCTGCACCACAATGGAAGACGCTCTGGCCCGAGCCGTTATCCAGATAAGATGGGAGGAAGATGAGATGAACCGAGCTGCCCATTCCAGATATGAACCAAGGCGGAGCGACAGGAAGCCAGAGCCTAGACCGGTAGAGCACCGCTACCAACCTCCAGCACGCATTATGGGCAGAACCAGAAAATCTTATGATCGCCAACCCGTGAGAAATGATAACAGGCATTTCGGATCGAACCAGCACAAAATACCAGAGTACAACCTCATCGTCGAACCAACCCAGGTCATAGCGATAATGAAAGGAATGGGGTTCGCCGTCAAGTGGCCTGGTAAGCTCAATCCCGAGGCAAGGAGAGACACAACCAACTGGTGCGAGTTCCATAACGATCACGGGCACAACACCGCAGACTGTATTGCCTTGCGGCTCGAGGTTGCCACACTTCTGAAGAGGGGACATCTCTGTGATCTACTTACTGACAAGGGGAAAAACATCATTAGCCAGAAGGGCTCCAAAGAGCCGTCGCCCCCTTCGCGAGAACCCACACCGAAGGGTTTCTGCTTGCTCATCTCCGGAGAATCAGTGGGGTAAGTTACTCATCGGCCAAGCAGTATGCTAGAACCAACCACCACCATGAAGTCCAGTCCATCCATCCGGTCTCGAGGTCATACTCTCATCAAGTAATTCAGTTCGAAGATGACGAACCGGTCACCCTGGCCATTCCTCACCACGATGCTTTAGTCCTCTCCCTACAAATAGCCAACATCCTAGTGAAAAGGGTGTTCGTAGATGGAGGTTCGTTAGCAAATATCCTATTCCTCGAAGCAGTAAAGGCAATAGGGTTGGAAGAAGCAAATATTGATAGATGACCGACACTGCTGGTTGGATTCAGCTCGGAGTAGAAATACACTATCGGGGAGATCATCCTTCCTATCTATGCCGGCGGAGTAAATAAACAGACCGTCTTTCTGGTGATCGACTGCCCATCCCCCTACAACGCCATCTTGGGGTGACCCTGGATCCACGACATGCGGGTAGTCTCATCTACCTTCCACCAGACGATCAGGTTTCCAACCAAGTGGGGGGTACGAGAGATCAAGGGCGACCCCAAAGCTTCTAGAGACTGCTACAAGAACGCCTTCAAGAGCAAGGGTAACTCCTCATAGCAATTACAGTCTCATCTAACCCCTCCAACCAAGCCAGATCAGCCCTCAATAGAAGAGTTGGATGAAGTACAGATACACTCAGACGACCCTGAGAGAAAGACCCACATAGGTTCCCGCCTCAAGCCCGAGACAAGAGAGAAACTGATAGAGTTCCTTAGACAAAACCAAGACTGCTTCGCCTGGTCCCATGCTGACATGATCGGAATCAGTCCGAAAGCAATGGTCCATCAGCTAAAGGTAGATCCGAATCACCCACCAGTAAAGCAGAGGAGAAGGAAGTTTGCACCAGAATGGAACCGAATCGTCAACGATGAGATTGACAAACTCTTAAGCAATGGCATGATCAGAGAAGTCCACTACCCCGAATGGCTGGCAAACGTCGTGGTAGTAAAGAAAAAGAACGGGAAATGGAGAGTCTGCATCGACTTCACTGACTTGAACAAGGCCTACCCCAAGGACTCTTTCCCGCTCCCACACATCGACACGATGGTAGATGCGACTGCAGGCCACGAGCTCCTTAGCTTCATAGACGCCTTCTCTGGATATAACTAGATCCTGATGCACCCGGACGACCAGGAAAAGACAGCCTTCATCACAGAGAGAGGGACCTACTGCTATAAAGTAATGCCATTCGGACTCAAGAACGCCGGGGCCACCTACCAACGATTGGTCAACAAGATGTTCTCCGACCACTTAGGAGAGACTATGGAAGTTTACATCGACGACATGCTCGTCAAGTCCCTGATTGCCAAACAACACCTCGACCATCTCAGCCAGGCGTTCGCCGTTCTACGAAAATACAACATGAAGCTGAACCCAGCCAAATGCTCATTCGGCGTCTCATCAGGTAAATTCTTGGGCTATATGGTCACTCAGCGAGGGATAGAAGCCAACCCCGACCAGATCAAAGCGATCCTTGGCATACCATCCCCGACGTGCATTAGAGACATCTAACGCCTTGCGGGACGAGCGGCCGCCCTGAGCCGCTTCATCTCTAGGTTAGCTGATAAGTGCCACCTGTTCTTCCATGCCCTCAAAAAATCCAACAAGTTCGATTGGACCCCCTCGTGCGAAGAAGCCCTACAATAGCTGAAGAGGTATTTGACCACCCCCCCGCTTCTTTCTAAACCTATGGACGGGGAGAAGCTCTACACTTACCTAGCGGTCTCAGAGACAGCCATATCAGCGGTGCTAGTTCGAGAAGAAGAAACAAAGCAGTCACCGGTCTACTACATTAGCAAGTTGCTCCTCGACGCAGAAACTTGATACAGTCAATGATACAGTCAACTGGAAAAGTTTGCCCTCGCCCTCATCCATGCATCCAGGAAGCTCAGACCGTATTTCCAGTGCCACCCCATAGTTGTGATCACCTCCTTCCCACTTAAGAAAATATTTCACAAACCAGAACTATCAGGCCGAATCATGCAATGGGCGGTAGAGCTCAGCGAGTTCGACGTATCCTACCAACCATGCATTGCTGTCAAGTCCCAGGCACTAGCGGACTTCATTGCTGACTTCACACCAAGCACCACCACCCAAGTGGAAAGGGAACTACTATGCATGAACGGTGCACCACCCTCAAAGTAGACTCTCCTAGTAGACGGATCGAGTAATGTGAATGGAAGCGGACTTGGGATAGTACTGATTGCACCAGAGGGAGACATAGTCCAGCGAGCAGTCTGATGTGGGTTCAAGTGCATGAATAACGAGGCCGAATATGAGGCCCTCCTAACTGGACTTTCCTTGGCCAGAGAAATGGGAGCAAAAAGGCTGAAAGTGAAGTCTGATTCCCAACTCATGGTCAACCAATTACAAGGCACGTATTAAGCACGCGACTCGAAGATGACATCCTGCTTGAGCATGGTCAAAGTGCTACAGGCCCAATTCGAAGAATTCTCCATTGTACAAATCCCCAGAGCAGAGAACTACCATGCCGACGCCCGCGCTAATCTTGGCTCGGCGCTCCTATGCTCCTCCTAGTCATCCATCCCCCTCCTATTCATGCAGTGGCCAGCCAACTGGAAGGAGCGACCACCGAATAAGCCCCCCGGAGAAGCCATGGGCATCGAACAAGCCGACTATTGGACGACTCCGATAGTAAGGTACATTGAAAACGATGAACTCCTGGCCGACAAGAACGAAGCACGCCGACTGAATGCAAGAGCCGCCAGGTTCACCATACATGAGGGCCAACTCCTTAGAAAGTCATTCTCGGGCCCCTATCTCAAATGCATAAGCCCAGAAGAAGCCCAAAATGTTCTAGCCGAACTCCATGAAGGCGAATGCGGAAACCACGCTGGGGGACGCAGTCTTGCACACCGGGTGATCACCGCGGGATATTACTGGCCGACCATATGCACCGATTCGACCGCTTATGTGAAGAAGTGCGACAGCTGTCAGAGGTTTGCCCATGTCTCACACCTCCCACCAGAACGACTCCACTCCATCATCACCCCTTGGCCATTCATGAAGTGGGGAATGGATATCGTAGGAAAGTTACCTACTGCACCCAGGCAACGAGTCTTCATGTTAGCTGCGACGGACTACTTTACTAAATGGATCGAAGCCAAAGCCTTTGCGCAAGTTCGAGACCGAGAGGTAAAAGCTTTCATCTGGAAGAATGTCGTCTGCAGGTTCGGGATACCGAAGGAGATCGTCACCGACAATGGGTCCCAGTTCATCAGCTCAGGCTTTAGGGATTTTTGTGACATGTGGGGAATCAAACTCAGCTTTTCAACCCCCAGCAACCCCCAGTCTAATGGCCAGGCCGAGTCATCAAACAAGACTATCATTCAGACATTGAAGAAGCGATTGCAGAAAGCTAAGGGAGTATGGGCAGACGAGCTATCCGGGGTCTTCTAGTCATATCGAACCACGGCTCAGTCATTAATGGGTGAAACCCCGTTCTCCCTCACATACGGTTCTGAAGCAGTCATCCCAGTTGAAGTATTAGTTCCATCCACCAGGCTCCAATAGGTGGACGAGGAATCAAACAGTAATAACCTCTGCCAGAACCTAGACACAGTGAATGAGCTACGGGAACGGGCGAACATCCGCAACGTAATTTATCAGCAACAGGCTGCCCGACATTACAACCGCAACGTAAGGGTCCGCACTTTCAAGATAGGCGACTGGGTCCTTCGTAGGGTCTTCCAAAACACCAAGGAAGTTAACTTTGGCAAACTCGGCCCCACTTGGGAAGGCCCCTACAAGATAATCAAAGAAGCAGGGAAGGGTACCTACAAACTCCAGACCCCCGAGGGCAAAGACATCAACAACAGTTGGAATGCTGTTCACCTTAAACGCTACTACTTCTAGGTGAACCTTGTCTTTTTTGAGGATTTGTTTTTCGTTTCTTTTCATTTTTAAAAGGATGAGTGGGCCTATCCACTTCCTCTTAGACAGTCGGCCTCATGGCCAAATATTTAATGAAGTATTATTCAGAAGTTCTCATCTTCAAATCGACCCCGGTCGACGAATTGTTACACCATCGAATCGGCCCTGCCTGATAAACGTACGGACATCTTCAAATCGGCCTTGCCCGATAAACGAACAGACATCTTCAAATCGGCCCTGCCCAATAAACATACGGACACCTTTAAATCGGTCCTGCCCAATGAACGTATGGATACCTTCAAATCGGCCCTGCCCGATAAACGTACAGACACCTTCAAATCAGCCTTGCCCAATGAACGTACGGATACCTTCAAATCTGCCCTGCCCGATAAACGTACGAACACCTTCAAGTCGGTCCTGCCTGATAAACGTACAGACACCTTCAAATCGGCCCTGCCCGATAAACGTACGAACACCTTCAAATCGGTCTTGCCCAATAAACGTATGGACACCTTCAAATCGGCCCTACCCGATAAACGAACGGACACCTTTAAATCGGCCCTACCTGATAAACGTACGGACACCTTCAAATTGGCCTTGCCTGATAAAACGTACGAACACCTTCAATCGGCCCCGCCAGATAAAATGTACGGACACCTTCAATAGGCCCTGCCCGATAAACGTACGGACACGTTCAAATCAGCCCTACCCGATACATACGGACACCTTTCAAATCGACCCCGGTCGATGAATTACTCACACCTTCGAATCGACCTCGCTCGACTCACGATGATACCTTCAGATCAGCCCTGCCCGATCCAAGACTTGGCACCTTAGGATCGGCCCCATTCGACCCAAGAACTGAACTGAAGATGCAACGTCATTCATCCAGGGGACTACACACTCGGTCGGCCAGACCGAATGAATGATTCCTACACCATTGACAAGCAAAGCACCAACCCAGCCCAACATAAGGCCTACATGCCTTAGCCACTGGGCCACGCTGAGGTAACATACACAAACATAACGCACCTATAAGAAGAGAAATAAAAGAACAGTTCATTCATCCAAGGAGACAACACTAGAAAT